AGTGAAAGCACTTGAATTTAGATTCTTCCGTGGCCCATATGGAATCTAAATGTGGCAGCAGCATTGCTAGTTGTTTGGCCTCTAGACTGGCTTTTCTACTTCCAAAAGCTACTTGAGTAACATTGAGCACGTCACATCTTGCTCGGGTGTCCTCTGTGATTCAGGGGCGGCAGCAGCCTCTCCCCCATGGTGGTTAAGCTGTGAAGGTACAGTGGGCACCTGGATCAGGGTTTTCAATGTGCAGAGACCAAAGGAGGTGCACCTCACTGCTTTGGTTCCTTAACAGTACTTTTTGTAGGCTCTGTCCCTGCTGCAAAGGAGCCCTGGTGGTGCTAGGGGTTCGACACTGGACTGCTAGCCATAAGATCTGTGGGTCAAGCCCACCAGCTGCTCCTTGGGAGAAAGATGAGGCTGTTTGTTCCTATAAAGCAGTGGTTCTCAACCTTCCTAATGCCGTGACCCTTTAATACGGTTCCTCATGTTGTAGTGACCCCCCAACCATAAAATTATGTTCATTGTTACTTCATAACTGTCATTTTGCTACTGTTATTAATCAGGCGACCCCTGTGAAAGGGTCATTTGACCCCCAAAGGGGTTGAGACCCACAGGTTGAGAACCGCTGCTAAAAAAATTTACAATCTTGGAAACACTATTCAGTGTCCTAGAGGACAAGTCAGCCATGAGACACGCCTGGCAAAACACACTGAAGTCTCCCTTGAACCCCAAGAGCCACCATGCAGGGCCGTCTGGATCCCAAGGGCCCAGGGGTGTTTTTTGCAGTAGGTCGGGTTTATTCACACACAGCCTGCAGCTCACCTGCCGACAGATCTTTCGTTTAAAGGGTCCGTCATGCTTGAGCTTGTAATGAAGGTAGAAGAAGCGGAAGCCGAAGTTGTGGGGCGCGTGGTCGAAGGACACCTGCATGTCTGATCCATGCTGGGTGATGTTCAAGCTCCGAGGCTTCCAGACTGCGAGGGGAGGGAGTGGGAGCATGGGATGGGGGTGAGTGGCCATGGCCCACCCTGACCCCATTCCCAGGGCAGCACGATGGGGTTGAATAGATACAAACAGCTGTACTCACAGGGCTTGCAGGCCAGGTTGTCCGGCTGCAGCAACAGGTCACAGGCTGTTGAGAGAATAATATAGTTCTAACCTGAGGGCGGTGGAAAAGTTCCTCCTCCAGCAACTCTATAGATTAAAAGACACAGGGCTGACCCAAAGAGACATCTATACACTCACAATCGCAAAAAGATGGGAGACAGCCCATAGCCCACCAGTGGAGGGATGTGGATAAACAAGCCGTGGCACATGCACACACAGCGGAATAGCAGGCAACGCTGAAGAACGGCACTGGCTCCACAGAACATCTGCCAACACATATGAACCTGGGGCACGTGAGGCCAACTGAAGCACGCCAAAAGGTCAAGTCATGGACCACTACACTCCAAGAGAAGGTCAAATCGTGGACCATTACACTCCAAAGTCAAGAGAAGGTTTACAGACTGGAACATTCTTTGAAGGTTACCAGGGATGGGGGGCGGAGGGCTGGGGAGGGAGATGAACTCCCTCACCAGAGAAAACACACTTATTCACTTGGGTGATACAACCAGGGGGCAGTCAGCACAACACGACCCAGGCGCACAAGAGTAAAAGGCAGCAAAAGTAAACACTCTTACACACACAATCCTGCAGTAGCAGTAATAACAGTAATGTATGAACGGATACCTAGGCAGATATGCAAACTGAACAGGGGTGGGATATTTCTACAGGCATTCTGTACATGCTGCAAATGTATCAGGCATACAGTAGAGCATGCAGGGCTAAATGACAAACTGCTTAGCCATACGCAAACACCTTAAGGGGCTGAGTTACTGCCTTGAGAGCTCAGGAACGCGGTCTTGGGGGGACGTGAAGGTAACTGGCATAATAATGTTCAATGCTACTTCGGTGTGTAGGAACTGGAGCGTCAAAAGCTTGTGGGCGGCCGTCTGAGATACTATTGGTCTCTTTCTGTCTCGAGCAAAGAAGAGCGTAGAAAATCAACGTCCCACCAAAGCAATTAGTCCAATGGGCTACTGGAGCACAGAGGCTACCGCCTCCACTAGCCTAAAGTCATGACTGAATGGTGCCCGGCTACCAGCTACCACCACCACCCCCTCTGACCAGGAGATCACAATAAAAGATGCTGAGT